GATGTCGCGCGTATTAATGCCCCCAGAGGAAAGATGAAGAGACCCAACTTAAGAACAGTTAAAGCAGTAGCGACCCGAGGGGTGCCACGGTGGGAGGTTTCAGGGGGAAACCCTCTGGGGCAGCTCTACTCCATCCTGTAGGGTCGCTGTGAGTCGGAATCGACTCGACCGCAACGGGTTTGGTTTTGGTTATTAGTAGTATCGCTCTCAAGGGGTGGTGCTCACTTGCGAAGTCTGCAAAACGAGTGAAAAAAAGGGCTTTTTTCCTGCCCCCGCGGGAGGTGTGATCCGGAGGTGGGACAGGTCCCTCCCCAAGTTACGAACGCCCACGGCGCGCGCGCTCTGTGGGCTTCTGCGCCGCGCCTCTGGCTCTCCGACTCGATTCCCTGGGGCGCGCATGGCTGACTAGGTAGGAGAGGGGGCGGGCAGTGGCTGGGCTCCTCCCTCCGCTGCCCCCGGCTGCCTGGCTCTTAACCCGCGCGCGGGGGCGCCCGGGCCACTGGGCTCCGCGGAGCAAGCGAGCGGTCAGCGCGGAGCCGGAGACCGGGTTGCGCGCGTCCCGTCCCGAGGCCGACGCCAGCACGCCGGCATGGCCCCAGCCTCGGCGTCGGGTGGCAGCACCCTGCCCAGCGGCTTCGCGGTCCTCACTACCTTCCCCGACCTGCTCTTCATCTTCGAGTTTGTGAGTGGTTCGCTCGCCCCGCGCCCGGGTCGTGGAAAGGGCGGGATAGGGTGCGCCGGGCGCTCCCGCTGGTCGTCGCACCGCTGTCTGAGCTCCATGCGCAAGCTGCGCGGGTCCCCCGAGCATCGGGATCGGGGGAGGTTTAAAGGGGCTAGATGCAGAAAGCCCTCTCCGTGAGTCGTTTGGCCCTTTTCTAGACCGACGACAAAGCAGGAAACAGTCTCTGGGAGTTCGGTGGAAAACCGAATTGGAAACGTGGGGAACCGGTCAGGGTCCATTTGTTGCGCGCTGGATACCGAGCCGGGCAAGTTCATCTCCGCGCCGGCGCTCCGCGGGTGTTGGACAGCAACGTCCTAGCAGGGAGGTGCAGGTTTTTCCCGGGAGATGGTCTCGTTTTTTTAAAAAATCAGCAGAAGAAACCTGAGTATTACTAACTGAGCTTTGGAGACGGGGTGGGTGTCCTAGGAAGAGCGGAGTCCCGGTTGTTCTCTTCTGATCTTTAAAGTTTCTAGCTAGTAAACATTTCTGCGACCTCTTTGATCGGGGAATGTTAAAACAGGCCATTGTTTGCTCCGCAGCAGTCATTCTGCCCGTGGGTAGGGGGCGGGGAGATGTTGGGGAGGCTGCGGAGAGAGGTCCCGTTGCCCTGGCTGACCTTGAACAGTAGGAAAGCCTGGCGCCTGTGGTTTTCCCGCCTGCGCGGGAGCCGCAAAGCCGCCACCGGTGACTGCGGGGAAACGCTGTTGTGGGCTCCTGGTAAAGTGCTCCTTGTGTGGGGAGACTACCAGTCTCCTTCGGCCTTAGCTCGCTGGGCGCTACCGGCCCTTACCAGGTATGGGGGGCTTTATTATCACGCGGGTGTGGTGCATTGCAGCCGCCGGGACACACTTCCCTGTGCCCCAACCGCAGAAGCAACCGCGTGAAGAGTTGAATGGGAAAAAGACGTCAGAACCTGGCTGGTTAAAAACGGGACCCCAGCTTCTTGTCTGGTTGGAGACAGGAGGGTGTGAATGCCAGAGGGAGTGGAGGACGGGGCGGGTACGCGTCGGTTCCCTCATCTGCAGAGGGTTTGGGGAAGGAGAAAAGGGTTGACCTGTAGCATGATTATCACTGGGCTTGTGTCCAGAGTTGAGCCCAAACTTAGGTCTGTCTGGAGGGACCCCAGAACCTGGGGATAGCTGAAAACCAAACACCAAACCCGCTGCCATCAAGTCAACTCATAGCGACCCTACAGGACAGGGTGGAACTTCCCCACAGGGTTTCCAAGGAGCGGCTGGTGGATTCAAACTGCCGATGTTTTGGTTTTCAGCTGAGCTCTTAACCACTGGGGATAGCTAGAGTCAAGAAATGACTCTGGAAACCACTGGGAAGCACTGCACCTAGCCCACCGTCTATAGAAGGGGACATCCAGGTGCAGAGTGGGCAAGGACTGGCCTCAAGTCAGCCGACTCGAGCCAGGTACTCTGCCTCCCAGCCACAGTTCTTCCATGTTCAAGGCTGCCAGGCAAAACCTGGAATAGTGGCCCTCTGAAGGTGTTTGACACAAACACTGTAACAGATATGGGAACCCCCCTCACACACACACACACACGCACACGCACACACACACACGGCTGACCCATACCCCTGAGCCCCGTAGCACCCACTGGAACATTCTTTTCCCAAATGGCTCTTCTGGGTGTTTCCGTCAGCTCTTAGCCTGTGCTTGCCTGTGGTCGGATTTCTGAAAATGAACCATGTCCATGGCCTGGGAATGACTAAGAGGTTGTTTCCTCAGAGCTTGCTGCGTTCAAAAAGGCGGTTTCATGACCCAGAGAGATCATGTGATGGGGCAGAGAGTTTTAAGTAAAAAAGGTCTTCCTGGTGTCTCTCAAATTGCCCTGAGCCGCAGCTTACCCTGCCTTTGTAGCTGTTAGGGGAGCATAATAACAAGAATCGTGGAGAGGATGTTAGTTGGGCTTCATGCTTTTGCAGAAGCCTCTGGTGCCCCCTTCCCCTTGCCCTCCCAAGAGCTGGGCTTAGCTTGTGGGCAGTTGTCGTGGGCCTGACCTCCCAGAGAAAGGCTTCCCAGTCATGTCTGCTCCTCTACCCGGCACAGCTCAGGGGAAGGAGTGCCGCTGAGAAGAGGAATAGTCCAGCCAGGCAGGGCAGTCTGTGGGGTGGGGACAGCGGGATCCCTCCTGTTATGGATTGAATTGTGTCCCCCAGAATGATTCTCAGCTAGGCCATGATTCTCGGTATTGTGTGGTTGTCTACCATTCTGTCACCTGATGTGATTTTCCTATGTGTTGTAAATCCTAACCTCTATGATGTTAATGAGGTAGGATTAGAGGCGGTTATGTTAATGAGGCAGGACTCAGTCTACAGGATTAGGTTGTATTTTGAGTCAATCTCTTTTGAGATATAAAAGAGAGAAGCAAGCAGAGAGACAGAAGAACCTCATACCATCAAGAAAGCTGCGCCGGGAGCAGAGTGTATCTTTTGGACCTGGGGTCCCTGCGCTGAGAAGCTCCTATTCCATGGGAAGATTGATGACAAGGACCTTCCTCCAGAACTGACAGAGGGAGAAAGCCTTCCCCTAGAGCTGGCGCCCTGAATTCGGACTTCTAGCCTCCGAAACTGTGAGAGAGTAAACTTCTGTTTGTTGAAGCCATCTATTTGTGGTATCTCTGTTATAGCGGCACTAGATGACTAAGACACCACCCCTTCCACCAAGTGAAATGGGAGGGGGCAGGAACGCTCAGAACCACGTATCCATGTATTATTAGTTTTGTGACCTGAGGTGGTGGAGGCTTTTTCTAGAAGAAATCATTCCTCCTTGCTCGGAACGTTTCTCTCAGCTTAGAAGTTGCTTCACCCCCACCTCTGCCCTCACCGCCACTTCCCAGGAGGGCCTGGAGGTTTCACTTGTCATGTCCGACTCTCTTCCCTAGATTCGGGGTGTGCTTACAGGGTGCCTGGAGGAGACGGCCAAGCAGACACTGCATGGATCGTGTATAAAAACTGCATGCGCGGATTGTGTATAAAAACTGCATGCGGTCTTGATGTGTGGGGAGAAAAAAACAGTTCTGTTGGGTCAACTCTGACTCATGGTCACCCCATGTGTGTCAGAGTAGAACTGTGCTCCGTAGGGTTTTCAATGGCTGATTTTTCAGAAGTAGATCACCAGGCCCTTCTCTGTGAACCTCCAACCTTTTGGTTAGCAGCAGAGCGCGTTAACCATTTGCATCACTCAGCGGAAAGAAGTGGAGAATTAAAGGACCCAAGGAGGTGCTGGCCACCCCTGAGAGAGTTTTAAAAATGTGTATTAAATATTTCAAGTACTACACAAAACTGTATACAATACTTTTTACAGGCACCCATGTAACTACCACTCAACCTTGTCAAATCAATATTTTGCATTACCTGCTTTTATTATTCAGAATACGGGTGGCATCTAATCCCCCTGTATATCCCACTATTATCCTGTCCTTCTCCCTCCATCCCCAGGGCACCCCTGGGCTGAAGGCTCTGGTCTTCCCTCCCAAGCACAGTTTGCCCCTTTACTGCTCATATAACTGTCTATGAACTACACTTGACTTTGTTTTTTCTGCTTTTAACTTTATGAAAAAGGTATAAACCCCAAACCAAACCTGTTGCTGTCAAGTCGGTTGCGACTCATAGTGACCTTATAGGACAGAGTAGCGTTTGCAAGGAGCGGCTGGTGGATTTGAACTGCCGTGCTTTTAACCATGGCACCACCAGGGCTCCTATGAAAATGGCGTAATATTGTATATATTCTTCTGCAGCTTGCTTTTTATGCAGTGCTAGGTTTTGAGATTTTTACATGTTTATATAGTTTATCTATTATATCATGGACACTTGGGCTATTTCTAATTTGTTGCTTTTTGTCATTGCAAGCAGCATTGCCCAGAACATTCTTTAATTGCCTCTTTATTTATATGTTGCTTCTTCTGGAAACACGAGGATTTGACTTGCCGGATCATGGGGTATACACACCTTCAGCCTTCCCAGATGCTACCATATTGCTGTCCAAAGGGTTATTCCAGTTTATACACCCCAAGGAGCAGATTTACTGGGAAGCTGATGTAGCTTCTGCACAGGGCCGCCACTTGCTTGGGACCCTTCAAAGACCCTGCTTCATTTTATATTCTTTCATAAAGAAAGTCCCCAAATTGTATAAGCTTGAAGCTAAACCTGAACCCACCCCCCGACCCGAGTCCCAGGAGCAGCATATGAAACTCTCCTTGCCCATTATCCTCACCAGACTTGCTAGCATCAGACTTCGTCATTTTCTGCTCAGCTGATGGGTGTGAAATGACTGACTGACTTTTAAATCTGTAGTCCAGGGAGTTGGTGATTACTCACAGTTCAGATTCCCATGCCTGGCCTCCCAAGAGCCTGGGAGGTGCAGATGTCAAACTCCACCCACCTCTCCCCACCTCTCC